ATAACCGGGCTAACCTAGGGGTGAGGTTTTCGAAAGGTGTCCTTGGGTTGTCCGATAACAGGGCTAACCCAAGGACTTATTTATTTTGGGTTCTATGGAGTCGCCACCGATGTTTTAATCGGAAACATCGGAAAAGGGTTTTTAAAAGGCGTTGGTTTTCGAAAACCAACTTTGGTCATTAGAACCAGAGTTGGGTAAGGGAGTTAGTTACGTGTAAAGGGAGTATTAGTCCCTTTACGACGCCCCTTTCGAGTTCTCTATGATAGGCCAGCTTTTATTGTTAATAAATAAACCGGAAAATATACTTTTTCCCTTTTTATTATGCGGAATTTTAAAGTGATGACTACATGGCCCTAATCTATTGCATAATTTAAATTAAAGCAGTAAAAGTAGAGAGGGAGAAATTAAACCTCCAAAGCAAGCTTTGTTTTATATTTCTTTAAAATAAATGGGTGCTTTTTGGTAGCCCTTCCCTCTACAAGACGCCGAAAACTCTTCTGGACGCCAAAAAAATGCTCTCAAAGACACTCAGAAACTCCGGAAATGCGTCGGAGGGATTCTAGAGAGAAGTTTTTAGAGAGAAGGCAGAGCTAATGCTTGAGGTGTGTGGAAATGAGGGGGGGAGGACCCCTATTTATAGGTTTTCGCGCCTGGTAGTGGCGAGACCGCCAGTCTCGTCTGACAGGGTCGAGACCGCCGTCTCGTCCAACGAGACCGTCGTCTCGACCTGCCAAGCGCGGCGAGACTGCCGTCTGGGAAAACGAGACCGTCGTCTCGTCCTTTGCAGGTGGCGAGACCGTCGTCTCGTCAAGCGAGACGGCGGTCTCGCCACTTGCATGAGGCGAGACGGCGGTCTGGGAAGTCCAGACGGCGGTCTCGTCCCAACAAGGCGAGAAAACTTATTTTTTGGTACAGAAACTCCCTCCTATCCTAGTATGGGGCCTAATAGTCTCTCCTAATGGCTTGTTAGGCTTCATCCATCTTCAAATAGAAGGTCTTCTGGTCTTTATTTGGAGGCCGGGCAAGATTTGGGGTCTACAGGCCTGTACTGATTCTTCACATATCCTTTTAAGATCTTCATGTATCTCTCAGCAGGATACATCCATCTAAGAAAAATTGGACCACATAATCAAATTTCCCTTACCAAATGGACTATTAAATGCACCATGATATCAAAAAATGAAGGGGGAAATACATTTCTAACTGGCACACTATTACAATTGCTTCATTTTCTAATTCATCTAACTTTTTTGGATCAATTACCTTTTTACAAATGGCGTTGAAAAACAAACATAACCGAGTAATAGTAACTCTTATAGAAGTTGGTAAGATGTTTCGAATAGCCACTGTTAAAAGTTGTTGCATCAACACATGACAACCATGAGACTTTAAACCAACTAATTTCTACTCTTGCATAGACACAAGACTCTTAATATTTGAGGAGTATCCTTGTTGCACTTTGACCTCACGTAAACATTCACAAAAGCTTCTCTTTTCTTTCTTTGATAGAGTATGACAAGCTGGAGGTAAGTAAGTGCGTTTTCCAACTGATTGTGGATGTAATTCAGAACGTATACCCATGTCCGCCAAATCTTGTCGTGCTTTTATTCCATCATTTGTCTTTTCTTTTATGTTAAGCAATGTCCCAATTATGCTATCACAAACATTTTTTTTAACATGCATCACAGCTATACAGTGTCTAACTTCCAACTTACACTAATAAGGAAGATTAAAGAATATAGACTGTTTCTTCCAAATGTTTTTCTCATTGGATTTCTTTTGGGTCTTTCCAAATACAATATTAATATTTTTCACTTGCTCATATACTTGTTCACCATTGCGTGGTACTGATGCAACTGCATTCTCTTGACATCCATTAAATGTTTTCTTCATTTTACGATATGGATGATTAACAACTAGAAACTTTCTATGCCTATTGTACGCAGTTTTTTGTCCATGTTTCAATTGGATATAACTTGTGTCTTCTTGACATAAAGGGCACGCTAAATGACCTTTCACACTATAACCGCTCAAATTATCATATGCTGGAAAATCATTTATAGTACAAAATAACATTGCACGCAACCTGAAATTCACTTCGTGATATGAATCAAATACATTCACTCTTGTTTCCCACAACATCTTCAAATCATCAATTAAAGGACTAAGATATACATCTATGTCATTTCCTGGTTGTCGAGGTCCTTAAATCATCATAGATAACATAATATATTTTCTCTTCATGCATAACCAAGGAGGCAAATTGTAAATGATCAACAAAACTGGCCATGAACTATGTTTACTACTTAAATTTCCATAAGGGTTCATCCCATCTGTAGCTAATCCAATTCTCAAGTTTCTTGGCTCTGCACCAAATTCTGGAAAGGTTTCATCAATCATTTTCCATTGTGGAGAATCAGCTGGATATCGAAGAAGATTGTCACATTTTCTACCATTTGCATTCCATGTCAAGTTTCTTGCATCTTCTTTTATGGCAAATAATCTTTTAAACCTAGGTATAATTGGCAAATACCATAACACCTTAGCAGGGGGACCATCTAGTTCTTCCTCACCACTACTTTCCTCAACTTTGTTTTTGAACCTTGACAAATCACATGTCGGACACATCTTTAATTTAGCAAAATTATTTCTGTACAATATACAATCATTAGGACATGCATGTATCTTCTTGTACTCTAAACCCATTGAACATAATATCTTCTTTGTCTCATAGTTACGAATAGGTAATGTATTATCTTCAGGAAGCATCTCCTTCAACAACTCCAATAATTCGGTGAAACTTTTATCAGTCTATCCATTTCTTGCTTTTAAAGTAAACAATTTTAAAGTTGCTGATAATCTTGTAAAACTACATCCTATGTACAATTGTTGCGCAAAATCAGATTTCAAAGAATCATATAGATGTGCTTTCATAAAATTTTCTTTACCAATATCACGTATCATATCCTCTAGATTATCATCCATCCCTTCATCAAAATTGTCTATAGTTGACCCAGTTGGGATGTCTAATATTTCTCCATACCATGTCCATATTGTATAACTCTTAATAATACAATAAACAAACAAGTGATCACGTATATCATCAAGTTTATGACGAATTTGATTCAAACAACGAACACATGGACAATAATATGTCCCTTTCATAGCTTTTCCATTTTCACTAGCAAATTTCAAAAATTCCTCAGCTCCCTTTTCATACTCTTCACTAATACAACGTGCATTCATCCAACATCGATTCATATTATGTTATAAAGTTTCGTCACTCCTAGAGATTTAAAAATTATATGAAAAAAAAATAATATACAAACAACAAAGCACGTAAATGGAGTGTGTAAACCGAAAATGCACTCAAACAAATAAACATATAATTACATTCCAATAACAATTCAGTGGAGACATTCATACAATAACGTGGTTGAGATCCCCAAAATCAATCACGGATTCAATTTAAACATATATCAAGGACATAGAACACTAACCTCGAGTGTAGATGAAAATGATTTCAAACTCGAATCCAATCGGGGAGAAATATCAAGTTCATAAAATGAGACACAATGTTGATTTTTTTCACTATCAAAATGATCGAAAATGGTGTGCAGAGGTAGTTGTCGTCGTTGTTCTCAAAAACCCTTACTGCGCGAGACGAGGGAGTGGGTATGGAATTGAATAAATGGCACTTTTTACATCGTTGTCGCCGTCTGTTCCGATGTCTAAGGACATCTTGAATGTTTATGCGAGCGGTCGCCAAAAGATGGTTTAGACTCGCGTTTTATTTTTAAATGTGTTCATTGCTCCCGAGGTGCTCAACAACTGAACTATCCTCTAATAAGAGCAAGGTTTTCGCAAAAGGGTTCTTATGGAGTCGCCACCAATGTTTTGACCATAAACATTGGAAAAGGATAAAAAGGCATTGATTTTAAGAAAAACCAAACTTGGCCATTATAACCAGAGTTGGGTAAGGAAGTTAGTTACGTGTGGCGAAGGTGTTAGCACCCCACAACGCCCCTTTCGGGTTCCCTATGACGGATTAATTCATTAAGTAAAGATTAAGAGAAATTACGCTATTACCCTATTTTATTTATACAATATTTAAAAATGGCTATCTACATGATTTTATTTTCTATTGCATACATAAAACAATAAATAAAGAAATAAAAGAGAAGAGAAGTGAAAAGAACCTCTGTAGCAAGCTTTTTATTGCAAATCTTTAACTGTGAGGATGCGTTTTGACAATCTCCCGCTCTACAAAGACTCTCCTCCCCGAATACAAGACCGACTCTACCAATATTTTAAGAAGAATCGAATGCTGGAAGAATCTTCCTTAACCGATTGTTACCTTTTTAGGCAATCGGAGAGTTCATTCGAAAGAGGGAGAGAAGACAAGTGTCTGGAGTGTCAAAAACGCTCAAATGAGCTTCCTATTTATAGTTTTTTCAGCCTGGCAGCTCGGGACGGCCGTCTGGGGTGCAAAAAATAGGGATGACCGTCTGCAGAGGCCGGGACGACCGTCTGGGATCTGGGACGGCCGTACCAAGTGACAAAACTGGTTGAGACGGTCGTCTGGCATGTGGGATGGCTGTCTGGGACGGCTTTCTCGACTGTTTTGGCAAGATTTTGTGTTCTAGGACTCTTGGGAAGTTTTCCTTTCTTTATTCAGAAGTCGATTGATGCCAATAGACGTCCACCGAAGCTTTATCTTCAGATAGAAAGTCTTCTTAGCCTTTATTGAGAGGCCGGGCAAAATTAGGGGTCTACAGTCGCGCACCCCAGCACGCGACGTAAAAAGCCTTCTTTTACGTCGCGCCACCCAGATGCGACGTAAAAGAGGCTTTTTATGTCACCTCCTAGGATGTGCGACGTAAAAGTTTTGTCTCTTATTTACAAAATTATCACTGCATTTTATTTACATCGAATATTTTTACATGCGACGACAATTGGGTGACGTAGAAGCCCTTTTTTGCACTAGTGCGGTGAGGGCTATGGTGGTGCTGGGTGTGGGCTACAATGGGGATACATGGGTCATGGGTCCAGAGGTGAGGCATGGGGATCCATGGGTTATGGGTGTTTAGGTAAGGGTGGATGGAGAGTGAGGTGATGGGTGCGATGGGGGTGGCTTCTGCGAAAGGGAGTAATGATGAGGAAAGGTAATGGAGGCGCCGGTTGGAATGGAGCTAGGGCTAAGGTAAAAAATGGGAAGAAAGGGAGAGTGGCTGGAAAATTAGAAAGGAAAAAGAAACCAGAGAAGAGCTCCCCCCTCAATGTGTCATCCCCCTCCATTTAACTCTAATAATTAGGTTAAAAGCATATCATGGATGGGCCCCAAACCATGTAAAAACCTTTTTTTTTCTATTTATTTAAAAGATCAATACTAATATATATATATATATATATATATATATATATATATATATATATATATATATTATTTAGAAAATGGAAATTGTTAAAAAAAATTATTACTTTTTTTCTTGAAGGTGTAAAATATTAACAAGAGAAATTATATATATGTTTTTTCTTTATCATATATTTCACTTTTTTTTTTAAGGCTTAAAAGAAATCATATTTTCTTTCTCATTTTTTTTATATTTTAAAATAACATTACTATTTATTATTATTATTTTTTTATCCACCCGATGAAATTGAGTGCTGACGGCATCCTCTTCTCCTCTCCAAGCCATTAACTATGTTTCTCATCTCAACCAGTAGTACCTTCTTTGAGCGTACCTGTATGTATCTCTATGAACAGGCATGGCATGTGATCATCCTACATTCATTATCCCATTTCATACACCCCTCTAACTCACACTCCTCCAGGACAAGGTCTCCCCACCCCACTCCCATTTCTACTTTCTTTTTTTATTCTACATGATAATGTGATGAATTAATTGTTTTAGTTTTCAGGTGTGGCGCCAGGTTTCTGACATTTTCAATGGCTCACTAATAAAGTAAGTGATCAAAAGCTTAATAAATTTATTTAGTTTTTATTTTTAATTTATTAATATTATCAAATTTTAGCTTTATAATTAAAAAAATTACCAATAATTTAAATTTTATTAATTCTAAAATTTTATATAATTATTAGTATAAATTTAATTCTCCAATGATAATAGTAACACATTTATTAAATTAAAATTCTTTACTTTAATTAATTATTTTGAATTTTTTTAACAATTTTTTTTCAAATAAAAACAATAAAAATTAAAATTAATTTCTAACTGAATCTTCACATATTTATGATTAATACTATATTATATTATTATATTTAATTAAATTTTAAAATTTTAAAATAAGTTTACTTAATTTTTACTCTTTTATATAAAAATGATTAATATAAACTTAAAATATTTATCCAACTATTAAATTATCCAAGATATTAATATCAATTTAGTAATTAAAATAATTTTAATTTTTTATAAATACATTGAAATACATTTTTATTAACATAGTAATATATATATATATATATATATATATATATATATATATATAAGAGACTAAATTAATAATTAATTTAATGATTGATTCGATGAATCGATTCAGTGATCGAATCAGTGACTCGATACTGTGACTAATTTAATAATCAATTTTAATTTTTTTATTCACATGCTAAATTAAAAAACAAAATAAAATAATTATATTACTAAATTATTTAATAAGTTACTAAACTATTTTTTTAATTTTTATAATATTATTAAAAATGTTATCAATTCTTTTAAATTATTAAGTAGATTTATATTTAATATATTATTAAAATATTTTTAAAAAATATTTATATAAATAAAAAATAATCATCAATTTAGAGATTATTTGTTTAGTGACTGAAATTTTAGTCACTAAATATAAAAAAGTAATCATTTACTATTAGTAACTGAATTTTTTGGTCACTAATTTCGAGTCACTATTAATCATTTTTCTAGTAGTAACCGATTTGGTAACTGAATCAGTGACCGATTTATATGACTGAAATGTTAGTCACTAAATAAGTCACTAAATATAAAAAGGGAAGTTGGTCACTAATTAGTTACTTGTCGTTGATCTGAATTTTTCGGTCACTAATTTCGATCACTATTAACCATTTTCTAGTAGTGATAAATGTTTTTGAAGAAAAATAATAATACTAGTATTACTCGAGATGATTAAGTGTATTATTTATAAAAAAAATAATATTTTTATATATATACAAAAAAAAAAAACTCAATCTAACTTATAATGCATCACTATAGATATTGTAGACCCTAAATCTTGCTCGGCCTCATAATAAAGACCAGAAGACCTCTTATTCGAAAATGGATGAAGCCTAAGAAGCCACTAGGAGAGACTATTAGGCCCCATAATAGGATAAGAAGGATTTTATGCATTAAAATAAGGATTTTCGCCTTTAGGAATCGAGACCGCCGTCTCGCCATTCCAGCAAGTCGAGACCCGTTTGGCGAGAAGGCCTTCTCGTTTCTGGGAAAGTCGATACCGTCGTCTTGCCAAACGAGACGGCGGTCTCACCACTTTTACAAGTCAAGACTGCCGTCCTGAATGGCGAGACAGCCGTCTCGACCTGACAGGCGTGAATCCCTATAAATAGTGAGCGCTCCCCCCTTCATTTCACACAGTTCTTCCAGTTTCCCTTCTATAACTTCTTCAAATTCTCTTACTAGAACCCCTCCGAAGCATTTTCTGAGTTTCTCAGAGTTTTTTAGAGTTTTTATAGCGTTTCTGAGAGTTTTCTGGCGTTGTAAAGAGCGAAGGGCTGCCAAAATGCACCCTAATTTTCAAGAGTATTAATAAAAAGCTTGCCTCGGAGGTTTCTTCATTCTCCCTCTCTCTCTTACTGTCTTTATTTTTATGATTAAATTTCATGATAGACATTAGGGCCATGTAGTCGTTATTTTAATTCCGTTAATAAAAGGGTAAAAGCGTCTTTTCAAAAAGTTTATTTATAAAATAACTGGCCTATCATAGGGAACCCGAAAGGGGCATCGTAAGGGAACTAACACTTCCCTTATACGTAACTAACTCCCTTACTTAAACTCTGATTTTAACGACCAAAGTTAGTTTTAAAAAACCAACGCGTTTTACTCCTTTTTCGATGTTTCTGGTAAAAACATCGGTGACGACTCCATAAGAACCCCTTCAAATTTGTTCTTGGGTTAGTCCGGTTATCGGACAATCCAAGAACACCTTTTCGAAAACCTCGCCTCTAGGTTCAACCAGTTATCGGACAACCTAAAAGCATTGTAACATCACCTATAAAAACACGAAAATTGGAAAGTCGGAACCATTGCATCGCTCCGACCACCTCTTTTTGACGGCAGCGACAGATGGCGACTCCACTGGGGAAGCCTAGAGAGTTGATCCCATTTAGTGATGGGCCAACTTAAATAAATAAACCAAGAAATCACGCTTTTACCCTACCTTGTATTATAACATGTTTTAATGCTTGACTTTAAGAATTGTTTTTTGTTTATTTTTACGCAATTGTCTGAAATACAAATTGTACACAAACCTTTGCACACAACAGTTCCTTCTATACCCGAGGGCAAGTGAGAAATCCATAGGGAGTGGGTGGCAGGTACGGTTCGCTGTTGTGATGGCCTTGAGCCCACCAGTGTGATTGGAAACCACCACTCAAGGTGATAACCTTCCTCTTTTGGCACAAAGACTAACTATGGCCTTAGTGCTAAGCATGGTCGGAAGGCTGGAGAGTGGGGACCCTATAATGGGGGCACCTTGGGGTCTTAGCCTTGGTGAGAACAGTTAGAACCTACCTTCGCCAATGCACTTTTCTGCAGAAAAACCCTACCTCGTGATTAAAACGACTTCTCGCCTGTTCGCGGATGATTGAATTGTGTGCGCATCTGTTTGTTGTATTTGTTTGTTGCATAGCATAACCAAACAACAGAAAAATCACAAAAAATATTTTTGCAATAAACACCCTGTAGACCCCAAATCTTGCCCCGCCCCCTAGTAAAGCCGAAGATTGCCCGTTTCGAAGATGGTTAAGACTTTATCAAGTCCCTAGTAGCTTGTTCTAGGTTCCATTTAGGATAGGAAGGGTTTTTAGAGGCATTAAAAATCGGGAAATCCGCCGGAGACAGTAGATGGTCGTCTAGAACAGGCGGATGGCCGTCCAGAACAGGCAGATGGCCGTCCAGGACAAGTAGATGGCCGTCCATGGCCACTTTAAGGCCATGGACGACCGTCCACTTAGCTTGGACGGTCGTCCATGGCCAAAAGTTGTCCACTTTGTCCAGACGGTCGTCCACCTTTTCCAGGCCCGGATCCCTATAAATAGGGGCCTCATTTCTCCGTTTTTTCACACCTTTCTCACTCCTCCACTCTCTTGGAAGCCTTTGGCACTTGAGAGTGACCCTGAGCCTTATTCTGGGGTTCGAGGGAGCTTTCCGATTTCCGTTAAAGTTGAAATCGGTTAAGGAAGTCTCTTTTTGAGACATCCGGCCCTCGGTAGAGTGACTTTTCTTTATTTTGCGGGAGGAGCGTGTTTGTAGAGTTCGGGGACTGCCAAAAAGCGTCCTCACATTTTCGAAGAGTTAATATAAAGCTTGCTTCGGAGGTTCCTTCTCTATTCTCTGTCTTCTTTACTGCTTTCTTTATCGCTTTCTTTGTGTGCATTAGATAATAGAGTCATGTAGATATTTAAATTCTGCAAGTAGATCAAATAATAGGGTAAAAATGTAATTTCTTTAAGTGTTTATTTTCTAAGTTAGTCCATCATAGGGAACCTGAAAGGGGCGTTGTGGGGGTGCTAACACCTTCCCCACACGTAACTAACTCCCTTACCCGACTCTGGTTGTAATGGCCAAAGTTGGTTTTTTCTAAAACCACTGCCTTTTTACCTTTTTCAGTGTTTAAGGTTAAAATACTGATGGCGACTCCTCGAACCTATTCCAAAACCTCGCCTTTAGGTCTAACCCGGTTATCGGACGGCCTAAAGGTGTTGAACTGTTTTTTTCAAAGAAAACGCGAGTCATATCAAAACCATCGCGTCACTCCGACCGCCTCTTTTGACGGTGGCGACACACCTTTATCTCGGACAGTCTGCCTTTTAGCTAGCCTGGTTTCAGGTTCTTTGTAAGCTAAGTAGCCACGCAGTCCGACAGAAGAGATAAGGGACGCTAAATACTATTCTTTCGCATAAAGCCATTTTTATCTCAGACAGTCTGCCTTTTAGCTAGCCTGGTTTCAGGTTCTTTGTAAGCTAAGTAGTCACGTAGTCCAACAGAAGAGATAAAGGCTATAAAAAACAATAACAAAATCAAATCAAATAAA